AGTTAATATATGTAAGCCCTTAAACAATGCCAGTGCTGAGAAGCTGCATATTCTATAACATGCTTCAATTTATGTAAACAAATTACAGGCCTAATGGGGATGTAAATTTATTCATACCATTATTTAGATATGCAGATGTATTCGTTTGCTAGGACTATACTAACAAGACTGAGTTTTACACAACAGAAATGTATTTCCTCACAGTTCCAGAGGCCAGAAGTTAGAGATCAACTAAGTTAGAGGCTTAGTTTCCTCTATGACTACTCTCACCAAAACTGTAGATGTCTGTTCTCTTTCCTGTTCCTTCACAAGCTCTTCCCTCTGTTCAAGTCTATCTCCTGACCTCCCTCTCTTATAAGGACATCATTCACTGGATTAGGGCCAACCTTAATGACCTCATTTGAATTGAATTACCTTCCAGAGAAGGTAATTATCTCCAAATTGTCACATTCTGAAGTACTAAGGGGTTAGGGTTTCAACATTTGGATTTGGGAAGGAGAAGTGGGTATGGCTCAACTCAGCCCACATCAGCAGAGAAATTTAAATTCCTTTATTTGAATATAATCATTATGTTTTCTTCTGTGAGTCCTAACCTACTGATTTTTAAGAAAAAAATTACTAAAATGTCAATCTGTTTAAGACTCAAACATAGCTGATCCTTTAAACAATACTGTTAAGAAATCCTTTGCTAATTTCTGGGTTAAAAGGCCCAATGTCTGAATCATTGCCTCAATTCCCTGTTTCTCTTGCTAAGAAGGCATCTGTGCATATGGGAAGGGAAAGGAGGGCTGTAGTTTTCCATGTGTAGCTTATGGTAGTGGGGAAGACCTGATGTACCCGCCTCCTCTGGAGCAAAGTTCCTTGTCTTCCCTTCCAAGAAGCAGATTCCAGGTAAGGAAACAAGAGTTAAAATTCTCTTGACTTGATCAGGGTTCATTAGTTCTCTCTGGGTGACTTCAGCTCATCTCAGTTCCTGCAAACACAGCAGACTTCCTGAAGTCTGTCTGTGATCCTGGGATAATGGATAATCCCAAATCTTGAATCACTGAGGATATTGTAGAGAGAACTTTCAATAGAGGGGCAGGGATTCCAAACTGGCATGCAGGCTATGTAGCAAATGGAGTTACTGTATGAGCTGGGACCTATCTCAGTCTGATATAGCAGTTGGAGCCCAGAAGAAACTTCTAAAAACAACGTGGACACTCAAGTCACTTGGCAGCAGTTGAGCACTTTTAAGTGACCCATCTGATTTAGAGCTAGACAGTATAGAGTACCAGACAACAGAAATTCAGTGAGGCTTCTCTCTAAAACTATGCAAATCACCCTGGACCAGTATGCTGGGTAAACACACCTATGTACCACCAGCCAGTGGGGTGGCTGCATAGTGATTCAGGTTGCTTTCCTCACTTCTTCCCAATGAGATCCTATGCCAAATCTTCTTCCAATTTGGTTCATGGGAACAATTATGGAGAGCGTCCCCATCCCAGGTCACTGATCAGTTCTTCCAATAGAGCTAAGGAAAGGATTTGTGCCTGTTCATGATGGATATATAAGCAGCTTTTTTCTGACACTATGTGCTAGACATAAGTTGGGTTGTGGTTCTATAAGGACATGATTATGTGGAGATCACTAGGGCCACCTGGCAGATGGGATGAAACCTCCTGAAAAACAATTTCAACCTCCTTAGTACCCCTCTGTCCTGTTCCACATGCACACTCCAAACCCCACCTCTTGACTCACCCACTAACTAGGGCAGTGGTTTCAAGCTGAAGGATTTACTATGTGGGTTGGAAAGACAGGGGCTGAGAATGGTTAATATTAGATTAGCATCTATAAATTAATCGTTGCCATTACTAGCAGCAGGTATTTAAAAATAAACAGTAAAATCTATTTCTTCAAATCATTGAGTGGATGCATTACTTAGAGTAATATCAAGATTTAAAAAATGAACAAAATTCAACCTCACAGAGGTTATGATGAGACCAAAACTGATTTCTCCCTAAGGGAAGAGTCAGCAGATATGTAGCCCAAGGCTGGGATGGGGACTGAGTTCTATTAAGTTCTCTTGAATTCCCTCTACCACCTTAGGGTAAGGGTCTCATCTTCAAGGTCTAAGTCAGCATCTGTGTTCTAGGCAGCAGGATGGAGAGAGGAATGAAGAAAGGCAATGGATATGTCCAGCAGTCTTGTAAGGAGGCACCCCAAAAGTGACCATAGGACACTTCTTATATTGCCCTGCCAAACTTTAGTTCATAGTCACACCTAGTTGTGGGCAGAAATGGTAAACATGTTTTGTTTTGTTTTTTTCTTTTCTACAGTTCTGTGCCCAGATTTAAAATCTACAAATACTGAAGAAAGGGAAAATGTGAATTAGGGACAATTTCTGCCACAGACAAATTCATGCAGTGTCTGATTCCTTCTCCCTTCAGTACCTCCCTTTGCCTTATACTGAACACCAAGGACACTCAGCCTGGAAAGTCAGGATGCTCTGACTGACCTCATCCGTGGATATCTTCAGGGGAAGGAACAGGAACTGGAAGCCAGCAGAAAAACTGAGCAGAGTTTTCTATCCTGCCCATTAAGTTATATTTCCAGTGGAAATATACAGCTGCCAAGAGGCAGGATTTAAAGCATATCAACAGGAAGGAAAAGAAAAAAATTAAATAAAACACATGCTAGACGGAGAACAGGAGCCAGGCATTCCTCTACAGCTTGGTGCCTAGAATACAACCTGTCAAGTAGTGAGCATTTAAATATATTTGTTACGTTAGGAGAGACTACATTTTTTTGTTAAGTGATAATATGATATCATGCATGATCAAGGGGTAAGGAAATTAAGCTATTTTATAGCCCTGGGCCCTGAGAAGGATGCTGACTATTCCTTGTGGAAAGTGACCTTTTGTTTATCTTGCAGAAGAAACACGCAGATAAAGCAGGAAGGATTGCTGATTTGATATTGCTGAGCCTTGCCCTCCCTGTATAGATGCTATTTGCCCGCTATGGCTGGGGAGGTTTTGTGACTCTGGGCTCCTTGCCAGGCATCAGCATGTCATTGTTGAAGGTCCATAGACTCCTTTCCAGAAAGAGCCATTTCCCTTCTCAGTTCAGCTGTTCTGTGGGAGAAATAAAAGTACTGTGGCTAGAACTGCTTCATTCTTCTCCACTGCTGGCAGCAAAGCTGGGGAGAGCTGCAGAGAGATTGCCAGCCTCTGAAAGCAGGATGGTGCCAGTCCCCCAGAGCAAAGGGTACCTCTGACTGGAAACCACCGTGTGTGGAGCAGAGTGCAGGTTTGGGAGGAGGGGTGCCCAGAATGTCCCAAGACATTTTTCCACAAGTCAAAGCCCAAGAAATGTAAAGGCATTAACAAGAACAAGCAGCTTTCTGTGTGCTGAGATAGAGCTCTCTCCAAGTCCTGAGGCCAAAGGGGGAAAACTAAGGGCAGAGTGGTATGTAGAAGGCACTAAAATTTGTATGGGGAAAAAGAAATCTGTATACAGACACAAATATTTATCAGTCCATGAAACTGCCCACAGTGATGGCTTTTGCCAAGGGGGATTGTGTTACTAAAAGAGGGGAGTGAAAGAAGACTATTTCCACGGAACTCCCTTGCATAGCTTTTCAATGTTGTATTATGCACATAAAATTCTCAAAATGGGAAATAAATAAAAATTAGAAAATAATAATGACAATAATGAAACACAATGGAAAATGAAAGTGCCAGCATCAATGATGAAGCAAGAGGACTCAAGGGAGGAAATGGAAGACAGGAATAGGAGCCAAGGGTGTGAGATACAGAAAAGCCAGGAGCCAGGACTGCAGTGCGATGTGAGCAAGCAGGAAGGAGAGCAGATGGGTGATGAGCATCAGAGAAGAGGGGGCGGGAGGTGGGTAGGGGAATGGTGAGCAGATTCAAGTATAATTCATTCCTCAGTAAAACCCCACTATAATTCACGTAGAAGGGTCCAAAAAATTCAATTTCATAAAATGTTTAGGGTCATGTTATTGTAAGGTTAATGAGATGAAAAGATGAGAGACAAGTCTTTATAGCTGGCACTTGCCCCAGTCCATCCAGATCCTGGCTGCATGTGGTGCTACCTGCTAGCAGATGGCTGTCTCAACTTAAATACTCATGGGGATGATTTTGGGGTTTGATTTAAACACCCAGGACAGATGCAACAATACCAGGACCTCTCAGTAAGTTGGTAGCCAGTAAGCTGGTGTGACTGGTTCAGGAAAATTTCAGGAAGTTAGAGGCCATATTCTCTTAATTTCACTTAATTCTTGTCTTGATGAAGACAAGAATTCCAGCTGGTTCCATTTGAGGAGGATTGAGAGCAAGGGAGAAATGAAGCACAAATTCCTATAGATCCAAATTTGTATTTTTTCCAAATTCATGTTAACTGGGGTAAACTATGACAGGATTTTAATGTCTAGAGAAATTGAAGGAAATAAGAATGCTATAGGTTTATATATAATTATATAATTAATGGGAAACAAGCCAAACTGTAAAAACATAAGCTTTTTCCTTAAATGTTTTATTTTGTAAGAAGAAAGGTGCAAGGGGTAGTGCTGAGGTGAAGGGGTGACCCAATGGGGGTGGGGTTCAGGGACAATAAATACAGCATGCATAACACAACCTCACTAACACATTACATGAAAGTGTGAAATACATTTTTAAAGTTCAAGGTGATGAAAACAAACTAAGTTTTCCATTCAAGATATTAGAAAAAGTAAGAAAGAAATCCAGAAGTGAAGAACACTACAAAGGGACAATAATAATTGGTCTGAAAACAGAAAAAGTAATATTAGGAAATTAGCCGAATAAAAAAGTATAAACAGACAAATGCCTGGCAAATGTAATAGAGCAAAAGACAACACAATTACTACATGGGCCAGGGACATTATTTTGAAAACAGTAAACTGTTTATATTTTATTTTCTAAATCATGTTCCCCAGAAGCCACCCTGCCATTATCGCCCTGGGGAAAGGAGCCACTCACCATCACTGGAGGAAGAGTCATTAACAACGGAAAACCACTTTCCAGACAGGAGGGGAAATAAAAGAAAGCCTTTGTGGTTCTAGGAGCAGAAGAGAGGAAAGAGAGGGATACCTATGTCAGATACCAGTGTTCTTGTGCCTAGTCCTGTCCACATTTGTGTGTGAATGTTACCATGAGGGGCAGGAGTAGAGAAAAATTGCTCTTTCATGTTAAAAACCTAAAGCAAAACGGGTTTGTGTTTCCTGCCCATTTGGTACGTGAGAAGGATGTCTCTCAAAGGGAGCTCCCATATCATTTTAGTGGGCAGGAGGTGGCCTAGAATGTTCATCAGAGGGAGAACTAGAGAAAGTAATTCTCTGCACACCCACATGTTTCTCTTGTGTAATGCAAGAAATCCAGAAATTCTCTTAAGTTTTCAGTAATGTGTGGGGTAGGCAGCTGAACTGACGACCACTGAGTCAACCATAAGACAACACAGTGACCCCCAAACAGAGACTGTGGTGGAGATATGGACTAGGGCTCCCCAAAGTATAGCCTTTCAACTTACTTTCCCCGGGAGCTTCCTAGAATTGCAAACTCTCAGCTCCACTCCAGACCTGTAATCAGAATCTCTGGGTGTGGTGCCCAGGAACTGTTTTGACAAGCTGTCCAGGTGATTCCTCCACATGTGGAAGTTTGAAGAGCACCCGTGAAGACTGACTGGCCAGGAGCTGATGAAGAAAGTGTCCAGGCTCAGAGAGTTTGCAGGAGTCCAGGGCCCTGGGCTCTCAGAGACTAGACCTGCTAGACCCCATGGCCAGGTGCAGCAGAACGCATAGTGGGAGGCCCATTCTGGAACCTGACCCCAGGTCTCCAGCACAAACTGTGCTCTGGTCAACCCACACACCAATTTCAAAAGTCAAAGACTGATGGGCCACCCTGGTGGTGTAGCGGTGTGTCTCAGCAATATCAAGCTATTGCCAGCCACTGCAGCATGAGTTAGATCCCAGTCCAGAGCACTGACTCACAAGGTAACAGCAGACCTCTCCTGTCTTGCCCGCTGCTTCCCCTCAGCAGTGTATCTCAGTAGATGCGCCTGTTCTGCTCCCCACTCTTTGTCTCTGGTGAGTCCTCTCACCCCCTGCACCTCTGGCCTACACCCCTATTATTGTATGTAAAAATAAATAAATCTTTAAAACAAAGTCAAAGATTGAGTATTGGTAAACAACTTATCTCTAGAGACATAGTTAAACTCCTAAATGGCAGATTTACATTTTGCCATTGCCTTACACAATAGAGGCGATCTCGTGAGAATTGTAGCTATTTAAAACCTGTGCTCCTTTGTACCTAACTCAACTGTACACACATTTTATCCCATCACATACACAATTGGAATAATAGATGCTGTTTGGGGGCCTCCCTGGTGACGCAAGGGGTTAAGATGCAATCTATGAAGCTGACCGCAGCCACTGAGCACAAGTTTGATCCCCAGCCAGGGAGCTACCCACATGGTACAGCAGACCTCTCCTGTCTCGCCCGCTGCCTCCCTCACCAGTGTATTTCAGTAGATCTGCAGGTTCTGCTCCCCCCCCTCTGTCTCTGGTGAATCCTCTCACCTTGCCCACACTTGCATCTCTAGCCTGTACCCCAGTTCTTGTATGCATAAATAAATAAATCTTTTTAAAAAATCATAAAACAGTATCACAAGATTCATTTTGTAAAGAGGTATGTGTGTATCTACATTGGCAGATGGAAAAAGACTTGAAAATATATTATGGTTTTCTTGGGGGAGTAATATTTCAACAAACTTTCTTTTTTTCATCTGCATTACCTATTTTTCTCTATTAAAAATGTACACGGATATTTCTCAACATGAACTTTAAGTAAAAGAAGCCCTAACTTATAAAATGAGATAGCTCATTAAAATGAGGATGAGGCAGAAACTAAAAAGCTGTGTGTCCCCAAGTTCATACAGCTGGAAAGAGGCAGAGTAGGGATTCTAGACCAGAAGATGGACTTAACAGCATGGTGCTGGGTTTTTGAGTTTGCTGCTAAGTTGGTATATCCTCAAATAGTCTCAAAGACCTCAAATACCAAATATTCCTCAGATCAGATGTCCAAATATATATATATTTGGCAAGAAGAAAATACACATAAGACAATGGTAAGTGAAAAGAGCAAGATACAGAGCTATGTGAAATGTGAATGTCTACTCCACCTTATCCATTCAAGACCAGCTTCCTCTCACCAACAGAAGGAGAGAGACGATACTAACATATGTCTCTCAGGAGGGGTCCTTGAAGTGGGTCCTTAGCATCAGCAGCTCTTCCCTGTCAATGGCATACTGAAATACTGGTCTCTGCCATATCACCCTGGACCCTGGCTTGCTCATTTCCAAGACAGCACAGAGATGGTGGGGTCGGCAGGAGATTCCTCTCCCTTATCACTGCCCCCCCTGCCATCCCCAGTATTCCCAAGCACCCCTCACTCCACTGACAGTCATACAAGCAGGCACATTCCATTTTCCAAATAATTTCATAGATCTGAAATTTGCTATAAAAATTATACACTACATGTTTAAAAGCACTAAGAGGATGATGATGATGATTCTTGCGCCACCTCTGAAAACAGCTCAGCTCTAACCACACAACCACTTTTAACTTATTATTTTAGACATTCTTGCTTTACTTCCCACAGGTCATGATTTAACTCTCTTACATCACCTTCCCCTCTTTTTATTCTCCCAGTATCTCTCTATTTCTATTTTTGGTTAAATCAATAATCAGAGGCCACCGTATTATGTTTACGTTGACAATGTTCTTTGTAGAGCTAGGGAGTTGTTTGACTACATTTCCTGTCTTGTATAGCTCTGTGTCTTTCTTTCCTGGAGTCCTATTATTCTTTCTTTCCTTCCATGAAAACTATAACAACAAAAACAGGGTCTCTATGATATCAGGTATGAAGTTATTCCCCACTTTTTTCCCAGGAGACAGAGACTCTCCCAGGGGTATACTCTGGTCTGGATCTGATGCTCTGATATTATTCAGAAACATTGATTAGAACAGTGAAGGAATATGATTTGCCACATAAAAGGTGGTAATGAGCACATCTCTCCAGACCCCAAAGGACAACACAGGGAAGACGAGCCACTCATGGAGGGGCCCTGCCCTACTGTGGTGACACCTCAGTCTTTAAACCTCTGCTTACCTTTTGAGCAACACAGTCCCCATCCGAGGAACAGGATCTCACTCCCCACACCCATCCCTCTACATGGCCCTAGTACATTTCCCCAAGTCTGAGTCTTTCATTCCAAGGAAGATGTGGAACTCCCACCCCATAACCCTGTCCCCTGTGCATCCTGGACCAGGAGGGCTTTAGAGTACAGACGCCTGAGGTCAAGGTGGAGCTGCCATTAGGTCAGCTTTCCTTTGTGACATCCCCACCAGTGTGACCTCAGGCTCTTGTGCTTTCTCAAATTATAAGCTGTTAAATGCATCATCACCACCCACATGTCCCGAGGACAAACAGCAGTGCTAATTGTCAAGGTCAGTGCCCAAACCCACAATGAGGAAGTTCTTCCCTGGACTGGCTCATAATTAGGAGCACGCCTCCCTTTTTCCGGGGAGTCAGTACGCTGCATTGCTAATGCTGGGCTGTGTTTGGTTTATTTCCTGCCTCTTCTTGGGGTTGGCCTGAAAAATAAAGGCACTGCATTAAGCTTCAGAGGAGACTCCCTTGGTTACCCTGAAAGAGGCTGTGAAATGGCCCATCTAACAAAGCCTTCATTCTCAGCCAAGAACCTTTGTTCCCCAAAGTCCTTCCAAAAGAAGGGGAGATAGTGGCCAATTACAAGGATGTGTGGTGTGTTTCCAATTTTATACATGTTGAGGGAAAAGGAAGTTGAAAGGAATACACCAATGCGTTGGCAGTTTCTCTGAGTATGGCTGTAGAAGTGATCATTCTTTTTTATACTTTTCCTATCCTAACAAAAACTTTATCTACCATGAGATGATTTTAACAAATGTTTCTAAAAATTTAAAATTATACAATGAAGCAGGGTAAAAGCCTACCTTGAGTGTGACTTGGAAGCAGGCCCATTTGAACACATGCGACGCCTGAGCTGACAGGAGCCGAGGTCTCTTTTCAGGAACAGGCACTCTGGGATGGGGCACAGTGTGGGCACTGCCCAATCCCCAGCACCTTGAGCAGTGCCTGCTTTATAACAGGCACTCAAAGTATGTTTACAAAATACACTGGTGAGAAGATGGGAGGAGAGGAATTCTCGCAGGTGGGGCCTAATCCAGTCAGGAAGCTAGTTGTCAGGGAGGAGGCCAAACCTGGCGTCTCAGCTTTTTCTCCCAGCCCAGCCTCTGGTGTCTAAGTCCCAGGAGAACAGGATGTGTAAGAAAATGGAGGGAGCTGTCCTTCTAAAACCAAACACCCAGCTTGATAGCCATACTAAGAAGATGTATCACAGAGGGGAGGGCAAGTTTATTCATGACCCTGCTTCTTTGAAGACCACCCACATTCTCTGCAAATAAAATGTGGAACTGAGGCCAAGCCTGTGCCAGGAGACCTGAGGTGGTCAGTGAAGCAGCAGGGGCATCCAGCAGGGGCATCCAGCAGGGGCATTCAGCAGTGTGCACTAGATTCTGAGCCCTTTAGTCTCCCTGCCTGGATTACTGTTATTAAAATTTAGCAGCAGGCTCTCTTATGATTTCCTGCTCAGGTGGAAGATGGGATGTTTTCTTTCTGTGTTTCTCCCCACCTTGCCAAGTCTAAAAGCTCATTCTTCAGAGTCAGGAGATAAAAGCACAATGGACAATGGGCAATGTGACTTTCCACTTCAATCATCCCTGTTATTGGCTCTGTGGCCCAATCCTTCCTTGTTCTTATCTCTAATAACATCACAATGCCTGTAGAGGTATTCTTAGCATTTTTGCCAAACTGCAGCTTCTCCAGAACAGAGATTCTGCATTCAGGTTCAGGTGACTGTTTTTTTTTTCCCTCTTTGGTGATACACTGAATGAAATGCCCCAAACCATTATTTTCATTTTTATTTATTTATTTTTAAAAGATTTATTTATTTATTTATACATGCACTGGGTACAGTCAGAAGCGCGGGAGGGTGAGAGAATTCACCAGAGCCAGAGCGGGGAGCAGAGCAGGCAGAAGGACCGAAGTACACTGCTGAGGGGAGCAGCAGGCGGCAGGAGAGGTCTGCATGCCATGTGGGACCCTTCTCTGGTGGCTGGGGAGCAGCTGGGGATCGAACCGGCGCTGCAGAGGCTGCGGGCACCTTCGCAACCCAGCGCTCAACTGCTGCGCCACCAGGGAGGCCCCCCAAACCATTATTGCTGAGCAGTTAGAGCCTGAGAGAGCAGGTGTCTATAGCCCAGTAGGTCTCTGGATATCAGATGCCCATTAGAGGTAAAGGAACAAAAGTCTTTTACTTCATTTTTATCTCTAGATTGTAAAGAGAGGTGTTGCAGAGAAGAGGTTCCTATATATATCCTATATATCACACATAAATAGGATACATGTATATTCTATATGTCACTCATATATAAAATACATAGACATTCTCTCTCTCTCTCTCTCTCTCTATATATATATATATATATATATTATATATTTCCTCTAGAGAACACTGAATGACATTGGCAAAAGACTCCCTCTTTGACCAAACTTTAGTTAGGCTCTTCTGAGTCTGCTTCTTGACTATGTCTCATCTTTGAGCCCAGTTTTAGTGAAGAATACTGATAAGCTCATTTGTGATGAATTCTCTCCCTTCCCTGCCTTGATAGCCCATCAAGCTCCTTTTCCTCTTCCCCTGATGTCTAATCAAGTTCCTCTTAATAAATTTCTACCCTCTACCTGCTGGCTATAAATCCCCACTCATCTGTATATTGGAGTTGAGTTTAATCTCAACAGTCTCTCTGCTGTTGGCAATATCATAAAAAACTCTGACTTGCCTTTTTTTTTTAATCAATAATGACTTTTATTGCATCATAAAGATATATCACCAATAGATCTGAGAAATCATCCGGTATCTTGCTGTATCTGTAGCTGGACAACTTAAATCTTATTCATCAGCCTGCTGAATTGCTCCTTTTTTAGAAACATAGATACCATCCAAAAATTTCATGATATCCTTGGTTTTTTTTTAATTTATTTTTTAATTTTTTTATTTTTATATTCCCCATACAATTGCAACCCCCTTGTTTTATTTTATTTAAGGTTTATTTATTTATTTATACAAGCACTGGGTACAGTCAGAGGCACAGGAGGGTGAGAGAATTCACCAGAGCCAGAGCGGAGAGTAGAACAGGCAGAGTGATGAAGTACACTGCTGAGGGGAGCAGCGGGCAGCAGGAGAGGTCTGTTGAGCCATGTGGGACCCTCGCCTGGCGGCCAGGGATCGAACCGGCACTGCAGAGGCTGCGGGCAGCTTCGCAACGAGTGGTCAACCACTGCGCCACCGGGGAGGCCCGCAACCCCCTTATTTTAACCCCAAACCTCCTTTTCCTGCCCCCCCAAAGTGTGTCTCTGGTTCATAGTTGTTTATTGATTTTGATTTTTTTCTTTCTTATAGTTATTCTTTTTCCTGGTCCCTTATTTAGGTTTTCTAGATTCCTGTAATGAGTGAGACCATCCGGTATTTTTCTTTTTCTTTCTGGCTTATTTCGCTGAGCATGATCCCTTCCAGCTCCATCCATGTTGCTGCAAATTGCATGTGTTTATCTTTTTTGAATACTGAGTAATATTCCATTGTGTATATGTACCACATCTTCTTGATCCAGTCATCTATTTTTGGGCATTTGGGTTGTTTCCATAGCTTAGCTATTGTAAATTGTGTTGCTAAATAAACATAGGGGTGCAGGTGCTCTTTGGAATGAATGTTTCTGTGTCCTTTAGGTAAATACCTAGGAGTGGAATTGCTGGGTCATAAGGAAGCTCTATCTTTAGTAGGCTGAGGAATCTCCACACAGCTTTCAATAGTGGTTGGACCAGTTTGCACTCCCACCAGCAGTAGTGCAGGAGAGTTCCTTTTTCTCCACAACCTCGCCAACATTTGTTGTTGCTAGTTTTTTTAATATGTGCCATTCTCACTGGTGTGAGATGGTATCTCACTGTAGTTTTGATTTGCATTTCCCTGATTGCAAGTGATGTTGAACATTTTTTCATATGCCTGTTGACCATTTGTATTTCCTCTTTGGAGAAGTTTCTTTTTAGCTCTTCTGCCCATTTTTTGACTAGATTATTTTCTTTGTCTTTGTTGAGTCTCATCAGCTCTTTGTATATTTTTGTGATGATATCCTTGTTTTTAATTGTTGTGGCTTGCTGAATCAAAGCAGCTGAATTCAATACAAGCTCAATGTCATTTCCTTCAAGAATTAACTCATCTTTCTGGGCTTGCACTATGGAACAAGCAATACCTGGCCTTATCTGAACCCTGTGAATGTATTTTTTGCCCAAGAAATTTCACATTTCAAAAAGAGGCTTATTCTCCTGAATAACAACATTGATAGGGAACTGAACATATTTGTAATGGAAGCCCAGAGAAACATTATTGATCATGTTCTGTACTTGACTTCAGATAGTGTGAACAGTAACCAGTTCCTTTCTATTTCCCCACCACTTGTCAACCTGGAGCTTCTTTTTCTTTCCAAGGAGATTGAGTTCCCTTCACAGTAACAGTGCAACCCTTCAGGGAGATGTCAACATTTATGGAATGTTGACAATCTGATTGTAGAGAATTCTCTTCATACTTGCAGTAGATGCAGCAAAGAGCAGTTTTCCCGTTTTTTTCAAGCACCCATGAGTAATTTCCCTTTAACAAAACAGACCCTAATGCCAAAATCTGTTATGGTAAGGATAATATTCAGAGTCAAGTTCAGTTTCTCATGCGGCTGCTATTTCCTGATTCCGTACAGCAATCAGAAATACTGACATCAAGAACAGCAAAAAGGGCTTTCCTGGAAGGAATGGGGAAAGATTATGTTTCACTGCATCAATGAGAGATGTGATGTGGAATGGAAAGTGATAATTCTAATGGATGGAAATGCTTCTGCATCCCTTTGGTCTGAGGGTAAATTAGACAAGTGGCTGCAAGCTGGTGTGAGGTAGGGTCCAGGAGCTGAAGAACAGGACTGTTAATTACACAAATCTTCTTTTGGTATAGGGTATCCTTTGTGAGTTCATCTGCAAGATCCACAGGGATCTCAGCAATATTGAATCATGAAGTATGTGAAGCCATATTAGTCCTCATAGGACTATAGAACCTCTCTAGAAAGCAGCTGGTCATCCACAGGGGAGTGACAAGTGCTCATCTGGGCAAGGGAGTGGTAGTGACAGCTGGCACATTAAACAGATAGTGGCATCATTCTTCTCACAG